TAAATCCCTAACCCTAAACCCTAAACCCTAAATCCAAACCCTAAACCCTAAACCCTAAACCCGAAACCCTAAACCCCAGCCTTCAAGGATCGCAACTCCACAGGAGCGGATCGTGCAGCCAGCTCCTGGAGCTTGCCGCTGGTTGCTTTGATTTGGGGTTTAGGGTTTAGGGTTTAGGGTTTAGGGTTTAGGGTTTAGGGTTTAGGGTTTAGGGTTTAGGGTTTAGGGTTTAGGGTTCAGGGTTCAGGGTTCAGGGTTTAGGGTTCAGGGTTGAGTTTAGGGTTTAGGGTTTAGTTTCTTGGGCTTTATAGTGCCCTCTGAGCCCTCCAAACCCCAGACCTGAAGTTCATCGCAGTGATAACTGGTGGGCAGCCGCTTTCAGGGCGACAGCAAAATCTTCCGCTTGGAAATTCTGAAAAATCCTAGGTTGCCCAGTAACCTAGGACGAAAAAGGGTGCCCCTTTTTGCTTAAAGGGGTTTGTAAGGGAACCTAAACCTACCAAAAAGGGAATAAGGGTACTACTGGGCATCCTAGAATCTGCAACTGTACCATGTCCTGCCGTAAGTGAGCCATGAGGGGAGTGCATGCCATCGTAACAGGCCTTACCTGCTTGCTTTGACAGCTGCAGCCTTTGCCAAACCCAAAAAGTCGAAGCCACGCGAGTGAAGGTTTTGTGCCTGCACTCTTGTCAGATGCCTTGGACACCTTTGAAAACACTCTGCCAGTCAGCTAGCTTAGCACAACCGTGGTTCTGATGGTCAGGCTTGCAAGGCATGCCCAATCGCTCCCTCCTTCTGCTGCAACATGCAGCGCGGGAAAACCCCAACTGCTCCGAGAGGACGCCGGTCACGCTGTCTTCACTGTGAAGTGACGCATGCGGAACGCCGCACACATATTTCGGGCGTTAGGTGAACTCCCTCCAGTTGTTGTCGACCACCTTTTACACAGCCCCCTCTCGCTGAAGGATGGCGTTTAAGGCTTGCTATCTCATCTTAAACCCTAAACCTTATAAACCCTAAACCCTCAACCCAGCCACTCAGTCGCTAAGCCCCACTAAACCCTAAATCCCCAACCCCTGAAACCGCTGAACCCCAAAACCTCTTAAACCCCTCAACCCCTGAACCCGAACCCCCAAACTCCTAAACACCTAGAAAGCAAGCCTTGGCTGCCCCTCACCTCATAGACCCCCTAAACCCTCTAAAAGGTTTGGGGCTAAGGGTTTAGGGTCTAGGCTTATGGCTTAGGGCTGAGGGTTTAGACCCCCAGCGCTCAACCCTATACATATATATATATATATACCCTATCCCTTGAAACTACTCAACCGCAGGTCCCGTCACCTCCAACGGATCCCAGCACAAGGCCTAGATGGGTTTGCGGGTCCAGAGTTTAGAAGGGGATTTTAGGAGGTCAGTTTGGAAGGTGTATGGTTTTATCAAGCCCCACGTGCGAATGAAGCCGCATAGCAGACCCCGAAAGCCCTGACGCACGCTCCAGAAGCTCGTCAATCAACTCTCAACCCCTAAACCCCTAAACCTCAAACCCTCAACCCTAAACCTCAAACCCTCAACCCCTACACCGTAACCCTAAAACCCAAAACCCTAAAAACCCTAAGAACCCTAAGAACCCTACAAACCCTAAAGACCCTAAAGACCCTAAAGACCCTAAAGACCCTAAAAACCCCAACGCCCAAAACCCAAAAAAAACTAAAACCCTAAACCCCTGGAGGCATCCGCCTCCCGGTCGGGGGACGACTGGCGAGACCAAACGCGCGAGCCGGTCTGGTCACAGGGGTGGACGGTTTAGGGTGTAGGGTTTAGGGTTTGTGGCTTAGGGTTTAGGGTTGAGGGGCTGCTTCGAGTAGGGATGCGGGGTTTGGGTGGCTTGAAAGTCTCTTGAGGTTCAATGCAGGATTATTGCTAGCTTGTTTTTGTCCTCTCTCTCTGTCTCTCTCTCTCTCTCTCTCTCACTCTCTCTCCTGTATATATGTGTATACATCTATACATGTAAATGCGGCAAGACTACCAAGTACATGAGGTTGGTCTTCACGGGGGGAGGGGGGCTGGGGGGGGGGGGGGGTGGAGTGCAATGCTGTGGATCTCACAAGGTCTGGGCTCACCACCCTTTCTTTCAGGAGACTGCAGGTCTGGGTTTGAGTTTCGGTTTCTAAGGTTTAGGGTTCGCAGGGGGCGCCTTTTTTCCCACTAAACAGGCGTGTGAGATCCTAACGTCGTCCCAGATCTAGACTTTCTAAAGCCGAATGCGAAAAAGTAGCCAAGAATAAGCCTATCAGGAGACCCCCAACCCAAGCATATTTTGGGGGGGCCTTAAGCAAACCCAATAACCTCCCTCTTCCCTAATACGTACCCTCAAGCCCCTCAAAGTCCCTAAACCATATTAACCCTAAACCCTAAACACTAAACACCAACCTCATGGGATCAAGCCTTTCAAAAAACCGCCCCCAGCCTCAACTCCTCACAACCCAGAAGAACCTGTAAACAAGCCATACTTGGGATTAGGGTTGGTTTAGGGTAAAAGGCCTTATGTCTTTATGCCGGGGGAAAAGTAGGGTCTAGGGTTCAGGGGCGATTATGGGACCACGGCTGAAGCAGAAAGCCCTGGCACCCTTAACCCTGCCGCTTACAATCCAAAAAATGCCATGCCAGGAAGCCTCCGTGAACACAACACCCTCTTGAGCCTCTTCCAAGACCCTGGTTAAGACCCCCCACCCCTAAACCCCAAATCCTCATAAGCCCTAAACCCTGAACCCTAAACCCTAAACCCGAAACCCGAAACCCGAAACCCTAAACCCCAAACCCGAAACCCGAAACCCCAAACCCGAAACCCTAAACCCCAGACCCCAAACCCTAAACCCCAAACCTAGCTCATGCCCGCGGAGGGGCCTCGCTCGGTGCGATGGTCGAAGCACCATCGTGATCGACTGGGCAGCTTGTGTTCGTGGCCCTAAACCTTAAACCCTAAAGGTTTAGGGTTTAGGGTTTGGGGTTTGGGGTTTGGAGTTTAGGGTTCAAGTTTAGGGTTTTAGGCTTTAGGGTCTACTGCTTGTAAGCCCTAACCACGAAACACGAAGGCTCAAGCACGTGAGCTGCATGTCAGGCGCAGCAAGGCCCAACTGATTCACTGCTACAAAGCAAGATGCATCACCTCCACTCCCCATCCCCCTAGGCCCTAAACCCCGAAAACCCTGTTGAACCTCTTAGACTCAAACCTCTTAGACTCGAACGGCACAGGAACTAGGCTTTAGGGTTTCAGGTTTAGGGTATCCGAGCCACCCAGGACACAACAACGGCGACCCTTCTTGCTGCAAGGGGGTTGAAGAAGGAACCCCACGCCCTAACAAAAAACATTCGAGATCTTAGGGTAGTTGCATGGTCCCTTAGTATGGGCCCCTAAACAGGGACCCCATATATGCCCCTTGTATTACATACCCTATACAAATTAAAGGGCCCAGACATTCGAACCCTATAAAAGAAGGTTAGGGACCATAGTAAGGGCCCATGAAACAACCCATCAATGAGGGGCCCAGACCAGGTCCTCTGGCGGTTTTTTGCCTCACTGCATACTTGGGGGTGCTCGGGGATCTTTCTTGAAAAGATGCCACATGTTTGAATAGTCAGGTGAGGAGCGCAGTACTTCGCACCACCGAAACCCTTCAGAAACCCTAAACCCTAAACCCTAAACCTGCTCTCTGGACTCCCCACCCACTTGGCTGAGACGTTCACAGGGCGGACCGACAGACGAAAGCTGCCGATGCTCTCGCAGGCGATTTTGCCAGATACTGGGGTGGATGTAGGCATCGCCAAAGAAAGGGTCAAAGTGGGGGGTCCAGGGTTTAGGGTTTAGGGTTTAGGGTTTAGGGTTTAGGGTCCCCATAGAACTTCAATATTAGGTCGAAATCAACCCCAAGATACACCTGGCTCTAGCACTGTTGTAGGAAGGCATGCCCTCCCCCATTCCCGGAGGCACATCCCCTAGGTTGCCCAGCAATTACAGCGAAACTGGGTGCCTTCTGTTGCTTAAACGGGTTTAGGGTTTAGGGGGGGCTTACAAGGGATCCAGCCCTACAAAAAGAACACGGGTATTGCTGGGCATCCTAGTCCAAGGGCTTCTCCGAAGGGGATGAGGAATTGGGTGCAAGGTTTAGTAACTGAGGGTTTGCAGACTGTGAAGTTCGCATGCAATATGACTTGGTAGCCCAGTAACCATAGTGCAATAAGGGTACCCTTTTTGGGTTGGTTGCTTTACAAGGGAACCTTGAACGTGCCACGCATCGTTGAAGCCTAGGCGCCAAAACATAAACACCAACCAGCAGCGAACACTAACGGGTTTAGGGTTTAGGGCCTAGGGCTTAGGGTTGAGGGCCCTAAACCCTCCGTCTGACCAATTCCTGTCCTTGATGACATGTCCGAGGCCCTAAACCCTAAAACCCCTTCATCAGACGGCGTGGCGCGCCCTCAGCCGCAAGGGCATGCCCTGCGCAATGCGCCACGCGAACGCGAATTGCCAACTCCATTGAAATTGAAGTTGCATATGCCGCTATCAAATGCCTTTCTGACATCACTACTATTTGCTTATAAGAACCCCCGAAAAAATCAAAAACATTATGTATTCCTTATAAGGGCAATATAGGGATTGTTACTTTATACTTTTTTGGGGTACTTCAGCAAAGAGTAGATCAGTCGATGTCACGCCAATGTGATCTGAAAAGGTCTTCGCACTTATACATGCAACAACATGTCCCCGGCGGATGGGCATGTTGAATTCCGTTGGGCTTCTGCTGGCGCCGGGGATCAAGAACCAAGAGCCTGTCCAACTATAACCATCAACTTTGGGAGGCCCCGGAGGTCACCCCCCCCCTGATCTTCCGCACATGGAATCATTAGCTATAAACCCTAAACCCTAAACCCTAAACCCTAAACCCTAAACCCTAGGGTTCCCTAAACCCTAAACCCTCTGGAACGACTAGCCACATGAGATACTTTTAGGGATCCCTCTGCGAATCTCTTCGGCCCTGCGATGGGTTCTGAGGCCGTGCCGAGGTCCGCGCGCACCGCCGCCCGCGCCGGGGGCGGACGCTTGGAACGGACGGCTGCATATCCACCTAGGCTGTCCATTCAAAGGGTTTAGGGTTTAGGGTTTAGGGTTCAGGGTTCAGGGTTTAGGGTTTAGGGTTTAGGGTTTAGGGTTTAGGGTTAGGGTTTAGGGTTTAGGGTTTAGGGCTCTGAAAAATGCTCCTAAACATGATCCTCCTAAACCCAGTAGGGGAAATATAAAGATGTCCCCAGGGCCGAGCCACAGCGGGCATCATGGCTCGTACCTTCTTCAAGACCATGGTGCCCGCACGCTGGGCTTTCATCACCTGCTCCGGCGCGCTTCGCACTGCCTATACTGAACGTGGCACCCTAGCGCAAAACTTAGAATTGTAGCTGGTTGTCAGGGGGTATCGTGACCAACAACTAAAAAATATAATTCTAGCTGGTCCTCAGGGATTATAGTGACCAACGATTAAAAATTACTTCCAAGTACCCCTAAGCTGCTGCCTGGGGCATCGTGCGCTCTTGTTGCTCCTTTGCCAGCACCTGTGGAGACGCAATCGGCTTCAGCTCTGGGTGCATGTGGCCTCCGAACCACTTCCTTGGGGATGCAAGGACCCCTAAACGGGTCTATGGTTCATGTATACCCTCATAGCGTAGTATAGGGTGTATGACCCCACTTGTGTTTTTTGGTCTCCAAGGTTCTCCATATTCATCTGCAAGCCTTGCACACGCGCGATGTCCACTTGCAGCGAGCCCCCAGCCGGGGGGGCAAGCGTGCGACTGCGCCACGCGTTCTGAAACGCTTGCGCCGCGCTGGCGCTGACGAGGTTCACGCTGGCATAGCCCTTGTTTGAAAAAGGCTCTTAGTAGGGGATGAGGGAGTTAAGTCCCCCAATATAAGAATAAAGAAATATACATATACATATATATATATATACCCTGTAAGGGATCATCTGGGGTATACCTCATTCCCTCATACTAAGGGTTTTCCAGGGTTTAGGGTTTAGGGTTTAGGGTTTAGGGTTTAGGGTTTAGGGATCCCCGGGGTCCTTCCCGGTGGTCGCCGAGGGAGTCGGTGGTGAGAGACCCAGACTGCCAGTGCCTTTGCTCTAGGGGTTCTACCTTTAGGGTTTAGGGTTTAAGGTTTAGGGTTTAAGGTTTAGGGTTTAGGGTTTAGGGTTTAGGGTTCAGGGTTCAAGGTTTAGGTTTAGGGTTTAGGGTTCAGGGTTCAGGGTTTGGGGCTTAGGGGTTCTACCTTGGACCCCTAAGGTTGTACCCTTGGGTTTTGGGGTCCCTTTTTACGGATCCCTAAGGGAGTATAAGGGCCATATTAGTAGTGTATTATGGGGAACCTTTAGGGGTACAACCTCAGGGGTACGAGTCTTCATCCCTTGATTTGCAACTCCTACTACTCCCTGGAATTAGGGTTTAGGGTATGGGGTTTAGGGTTTTAGGGTTTGAGGGTTTGAGGGTTTGAGGGTTTTAGGGTTTGAGGGTTTGAGGGTTTGAGGGTTTGAGGGTTTGAGGGATTTAGGGATTTAGGGTTTAGGGTTTAGGATTTAAGCCATATGGTCAGTTCTCAATATTATGGCCCCTTTTTTCGGGGGTAGCCTAGATAGAAGGGGCGCGGCCTTATGACAGTAACCCCAAAGGGGGACCATAATGTAGAGAAGCGACCATGTCAATGCACGGGTGAGTTTCTGTAAAAAGGATTCCCGGAGTGGGTTTTTATTTAGAAACAATAAGTTAGGAGTTCTACCTTGGACCCTTAAGGTTGTACCCTTGGGTTTTGGGGTCCCTTTTTTTAAGGAACACTAAGGGTATGTAAGGGCCATATTAGGAGAATATTCAGGGGAACCTTTAGGGGTACAACCTTAGGGGTACGAATCTTCATCCCTTGACTGCACTCATTGAGCCAAGATTTGCTCGCGATGTCTTCGAATGGCGGAGCCACGGTGTCGGCGGATTGCGCCTGAACCCAAGCCACGGTGTCCTCGTCGTCAGTGTCCGGCCAAGGGTCTTCTGCGGTGCCTTCCTTAGGCGGACCGAAACCCTAAACCCGAAATCAGAAACCCCAAGCCCTCAAAACGGTGAACCTTCGGTTTCAAGGGAGTTTGAGTTTGTTCAGACTCAAAGGTTGCCTGCTCATCAGCCAAGTTTCTGGCCCGTGCTGGTCCCCGAGCACTGCATCGGAGGCTCGAGAGACGGGGTCGACACGGGGTTTCAAGCCAAACTCGAAGTTGACCTCGCTCAGCTCGAAAGGCGCGTAGCCGGAGAAACTGCGGCAGCGACGGAGAGTGCTCTGGGAGGCAGACTTGGCATCGACGTTGAGGAACACGTCCTGCACGGGAGGAAGCCGCCTTTGCATGAAAGCCATGGTTGCAAGGGTTGTGAGCAAACACGGCTTCGGGATAGCTCGGTTCCTCACCCTAAACCCTTACCACAAACCCTTAACGCCCCTAAACCCGCAGCCGAACGTTCAGGGTTTCGGACTTGGGACTTAGAATCTGGGGACCATGGGCCCAAAAATTGGGGTACCTCATTGGGGTCCTTATCGTTTCTCTGGGAATCCTCTTATTTGGGGGTCTCTATTCGGTGTCCTTATTTTCGTAAGCCCCCTTAGAAGCCCTGAACTGGACCTTGAAACCTGGAACCCACAACCAGAAACCCTCGTTTAGGGTTTAGGGTTTAGGGTTTAGGGTTTAGGGTTTAGGGTTGAGGGTTTAGGGTTTAGGGTTTAGGGTTTAGGGTTTAGGGTTTAGGGTTTAGGGTTGCTGGGAGCCTCTGAGGTGTTGACACGCTGCGTGGGAAGGTCGTGTTACCAACCCTATGTCCTCCAAGTTCCCTAAGTAGCCTAAGTACCCTAAATACCCCCTAAACCCAAAACCCCCAAACCCTAAGCCCCAAACCCCAAACCCTAAACCCCAAACCCTAAACCCTAAACCTCCCCCACCCTAGGACAGCAATCCGGGCTCCCGCGCCCAGGGAAGATCCCACCGGCAAGGGCTTCAGCTTCGTTGCGTCCGTGGATGCCTGTTTAGGGTCTAGGGTCTAGGGTCTAGGGTTTAGGGTTTAGGGTTTGGGGTTTGGGGTTTAGGGTTTAGGGTCTAGGGTTTATAGGGTTTGGGGTTTAGGGTCTAGGACGTAGGGTCTTCAGACCTCTGAGCCCTAAGTTACACCTCAGTACAGGGCTCAGGGTCGAGGTCGTGACCTAAACCCCAAACCCTAAACCGTAAACCCTAAACCCTCATCCCCACTACAGCTCCGGTAGAAACCACCACAGCTCAACCGGCGAAGACCTCACAAGCAATACAGCTCTGCGGTTTTGGGGTGTCCGCACCCTTTCCAGCAACACAGGCATATGGTTCGCGCAGCACGGAAACGGGTGTCCACTGAGCGCACTTCCTCAAAACCCCATAAGTGGAGCCCTCTAACGCAAAACCTGGACGAAAACAGCAACAGCCCCATGCATCCACGATAAGGCTAAGCCCCCATCACACAAAGCCCCTATTACAGTCTATAAAGGGACCACAACAAAATATCATTGGTAATTCTTCCTACCCCTACCCTAAACCCTAAACCCTAAACCCAAAGCTCTAAAACCCATTAAGGAGGCCAGCGGGCGTTCCGAGAATTCAACCCATGAAGCCTCGAACTGCGTTGGCAAGGACAGGGTGGACGCCATGACCTGGCTGCACGAAAGCTACTCCACTAGGACCCCTAAACCCTAAACCCTAAACCCTAAAAACCCTGAACCCTAAACCCCTTCGAGGTCCAAGCCTTGGGGGCTCAGAATTCAGAGGGTTTTGGGGGGAGGCATTTCGGAGGCCGCGACTCCGAAAAGCCTCAGTAGCCTAAAGGTTTCTCTCTCCCTCTCTCTCTCTCTCTCTCTCTCTCTCTCTCTCTTTCTCTTAAAAACCCCTGTAGGGTTTAGGGTTTAGGGATTTAGGGTTTAGGGTTTCGGGTTTAGGGTTCAGGACAGAGGTGCCCCCAAAACAGTCCCTGCGACCCATCGCACTAAGCCAGACGCGTCCGTGAAGCGCCTGCTTGGGGTTCTGGGCTGGTCTTCAATCCTTATCTTCTTGAGAGTTTGGGGCTTAGGGTCTTTAGGGCTTGGGGGTATAGATCTTCAAACCCCTCAAGCCGAAGCACGGCCCCAACAGAACATTTAGGCCCTAAGCCCTCAACCCTCTACCCTGCTAGGGTCGGGGTTTGGAGTTCAAGGGCTTGGGGCTTCGGGCTCGCGCTGTTGCTGTCCACAAGCTCGCCAGCTGGACTTCAAAGGGTGGTCGCAGGATCGCGAGTTGGTGCCCTGCTGCACAGTCTCTGAGACTGCTCTAGCTTTGAAGCCTGAAAATGCTGCAGAAGGCTGCGGATGGGGTTCAGGGTTTAGGGAGGGCAAGCGTCTCAGACGGTTGGGATTGACGGGAACGTGTGGCACATCGCAAAGCAAAGCTTACCCAAGCCTAAGCCTCAAGCCCAACAAAGTCCTAAACCCTAAACCCTACCTAGACTCTCCAAGTACTACCGAACACCCTACACTTCTTTACTTACTTACTTACTTACTTGCTTGCTTTCTTACCTACTTACTTCCCGCCCTCGAACCCCAATAAAGCAACCTCAGGCCTCAAATCGGCAGGCAAAGAAGCCCGACTCTGCCTTCCGACATTCCCACCCAGAGCCTTATCCTGAGCATCGGGCTCCCCTTCCGGTCAGACTAGGCTCAAGAGGCTGAACCCTGAAGCCTCAGAAGCCCTAGAAGAAAAAGCCCTACACCCTGAACTAAAGCCTATCTGTAAACCCTAAACCCTAAACTTTTAAACCCTAACCCCTAAACCCTAAACCCTAAACCCTAAACCCTAAACCCTAAACCCCAAGAGGAAAGAGGCCCCGGGCGGATCCGGGGGCCGGATCTTTGCAGGCGGCTTCCACCTGCTCCAGTTTCGTGCTTAGGGTTCATTCAGGGTTTAGGGTTTAGGGTTTAGGGTTTAGGGTTTGAGGGTGGCAGGAATGTTAGGGCGTTAGGGGTGTTAGGGGTGTGGTGGGTTTAGGGTTTAGGGTTTAGGGCTTAGGGCTTGGGGCTTGGGGCTTAGGGCTTATATCGGGCTTAGGGTTGAGGGTTTAGGGCTTAGGGTTTAGGGTGTTGGGGTTTGGGGTGTTAGGGTTTAGGGGCGTTAGGGTTTTAGGGTGTTAGGGGTGTTAGGGGTGCTAGGGTGTTAGGGGTGTTAGGGGTGTTAGGGTGATAGGGTTGTTAGGGTTTAGGGCATTAAGATGCATAGGGGTTTAGGGCATTTCAACCTGCAATCCTTCACAAGAGGCCAAAGCACACACTTCAGATCAAGGTCAAGAGGCAGCCCACAAACTCAACACGAAAAACCTCAATCCAGTTGGCCATACACCCCTTTGAACCTGAATAACAATATTTTTTTAAATATCCTCTTGGGTTTATATAAACAGAAATAGTTCCCAAAAAGGATATAGTTGGTGAGTTCTGAGGCTTAGGACTTAAGTTCAGGATTCTCCGGCTTCGGAGCTTCAGGTTTGGTACTGGTTCTCCGGCCAGCCGGGAACAAAAAAGGAACAAAATACTGTGAAGTTAGAATGGCTAGAACGGCTTGTTTGCCCACGTAAGGCCCAACCCCAAACTCTAAAGCCGAAACCCCTAAAACTTCCCTCGCTAACCTCTAAACCCCCAACCCCAAACCCCAAACCTAAACCCTAGACCCTAAACCCTAAACCATAAACCCCTAGCCAAACCAACCGTAAGTATTGGCACCACTTGCGGGATCTCCCCTGCGCCCGCCTTCTCACCGACGCACTCGTCCAGGAAGGTCACGGGCTTGCCCAGGAGCTCCTTTAGGGTTTAGGGTTTAGGGTTTAGGGTTTAGGGTTTGGGGTTTGGGGTTTAGGGTTTAGGGCTTTAGAATTTTAGGGCAGGCTTAGGGCTTCAGGTTTTGGTACCTTAACAACTCAACAACTCAACAACTTTAGAGATCGAGTTGGAGCTTTTGTTCCCGAGAGCTCGCAATCGATGCCGCAACGAGGCCTGCCATCTCCTCGGCGAGTTCAGGGAATGGAGGGTGCCGGGCTTTTTGTGGGATTAAGGGTGTAGGGGTGCAGTGCTTGAGGTTAAGGGGTGCAGGGTTTGGGGTGGGGGTTTAGGACTTTAGGGTTTAGGGGCTAAGGGCTTGGGGGTGTAGGGGCTGTAGGAGCGAAGGGGTGAAGCGGTTTAGGAGTTTAGAGGTTTCGGGAGGGCTGGTGGAGGCGGGGTGGGCTTGGCGGGATTGAAGGGCACTTTGTCCAGTTTAGGGTCTGGGGTTGGGGGTTTGGGCCCTTGGATTCACGGTCCATGGGTCTAAAGGTTATAGCTTAGGGTTTTAGTGGAGGTAAATTTGAGAATTTAGGGAGGGCATCGAAGACGAGCATTAAGCCGAAAGTCGCGCAAGAGCACTCCCCAACCTTGAGCCCTAAACGCCCAAAAAGGAGCCCGAAATCCCGAAAACTGAGAGCCCTGCACCTTTGGGATGTTATCCCCCTTATACCAGCAGTCGTTCACAGGGATTATGGTACCCCCGATAATCATCTCCCTATAATTGAGGACTCTTAGTATAGGGGGGGATCATCCCAAGCTACACCCGAAACCCGAAGTAAGCAAAAACATCTCTGCTTGGGACTGCCCCATTCTGAGCCTTCAAGCCGCTTTCCTCCCCTGACGCCTAATCCGCAAAACAAAAAATCGCTGCTTGGGACATCCCAATCCCTGAGCCTTTTAACCCTAAACCCTAAACCCTAAACCCTCAACCCTAAACCCTAAACCCTCAACCCTAAACCCTAAACCCACTTTCCTGCGAGCCAAGCGTCCTCCAAGTGCGGCGCCGAGAGAACGAACTCGTGCTTCGGAGGCCGACCCGCTTTCCTCGCTTCCCGGACCCCTGGGAGGATCCAAAAACTAGATCCCTTTTAAGGCTAGGTTGGTTTAGGGTTTAGGGCATAGGGCTTAGGGCTTGGGGTTTGGGGTTTGGGGTTTGGGGTTTGGGGTTTGGTTTGGGGTTTGGGGTTTGGGGTTTAGGGTGTAGGGTTAGGGTTTAGGGCTTAGGGGTTAGGGTTTAGGGTTGCCCAGCAACCTGGGATCAAAAAGGGTGGCTTAAAGGTGTTTATAAGGGAACCAAAACACCCCTCGAAAAAAGGGAATAAGGGTCCTACCGGGGATCCCAGGAGGGTTCCGAAGAATGACCCATCGTAGTATAGGGGCACTACTTGGGGGCTCTACTGTTCGGATCCTTCAAAGGGTCTGGGTTTTGAAGGTTCTCAGCCGGGTTTCCGTGGCCCTTGTCGGTTTAGGGTTTAGTTCAAGACCCTAAACCCTAAACCCGAAACCCTAAACCCTAAACCCCAAACCCTAAACCCTAAACCCCAAACCCTAAACCCCAAACCAGACGCGGGGCCAGGCTGTGGAAGCCAAGTCCACGAGCTGGTCTCGGCTCGACAGATGGCCTCCGTAGGCTCATGGGGCGCCAGGGGTTGGGGGGGTATAGGGTTTAGGGTTTGGGGTTTAGGGCTAGGGGTTTGGGGCTTAGGGGTTTAGGGTTTAGGGTTTTAGGGTTTAGGGTTTGGGGTTTAGGGCTAGCGTTTAGGGTTTGGGGTTTAGGGGTTTCGGGTTTGGGTTGAGGGGTTTAGGGGTTTAGGGTTTAGGGTTTTAGGGTTAGGGTCTGGGGTTTAGGGTTTAGGGCCTAGGGTCTTCGGTGTAGGGTTTGCAGGGACTCAGGGTGGGTTGAGGGTTTAGGGTTTGTAGGGATTAGGGTTTAGGGGTTAGGGCTCATGTTTGGGGATTAGGGTTTAGGGTCTGTAGGGTTTAAGGTTTAGGGTTTAGGGATTCGGGGTTGTCGGGTTGAAGGCTGAGGGGTTTACATGGTTTAGTGCTTAGGGCTAGGGGTGTATAGGGCTCACGGCCTAGGGTTATAGGGTTGGGGGTTTGTGGGGTTTAGGGGTTAGGATTTAGGGTTGAGGGTTTAGGGGTGTGGGGAGTTCTAATCGTAACTCTAAACCCTAAACCCTAAACCCTACAGGATTTAGGGTTTCGGGAAAGCTTGGGAAGACCGAGGCAGGGAGAAAGCTACGTTCAAAATCAACACCCCTACCAAGTTTCTAAACCCTGAACCTTACCTTCAGAACCCCAAACCTACTTTCCTACTTTTTTGTACCTTACCTAAGAATCCTATAAGGGGCTTTATAATCAGAGCCTGTAAAAAAGGTAGGTTTGGGGATCTCAAGGTAACCCTAAACCCTAAACCCTTGTCCCTCTTCCCGGCAGCCTTTCATCGCCTCGTGATGGGCCATGGGCGACCAGAGGTCAGCCTAGGCTTACAGGGTTTGGGATTTAGGGTTTAGGGTCCTTAAAAAAAGGGCCGTTCGTGGCAAGGAGGGGGGGGGGGGGGGGTACTTGAAGGTTCATGGTACTTATTAACCAATTACAACTGCACTTATAACCCAAATTACCACCTTATTGGGGCACTTATGGGGCGTAAAAGCGAGTTATACGTACAGATGGAACTGGTGAAAGTACCCTAAACCCTAAACCCTAAACCCTAAACCCTAAACCCTAAACCCTAAACCCTAAACCCTAAACCCTAAACCCTAAAAAAAACCCTAAACCCTAAACCCTAAACCCTAAACCCTAAACCCTAAACCCTAAACCCTAAACCCTAAACCCTAAACCCTAAACCCTAAACCCTAAACCCTTACCCTAAACCCTAAACCCGAAACCCTCCAAGTAGGTCACCAGGCAACCTTAGGGAAGCTCAGAGAGCCGTGGGGAGTAGTGGGGAGTATTTAGGGAATGTTGGGTTACATACCCCGCCTTGAACCCCCCTAAACCCTAAACCTAAGCCCTAAACCCTAAACCTTAATTAAGGACTCTATATCTTACTAGTGCTTCATCGCAAGTTCGGAACAAGGCTTCTTCTAGCCCTGTATATGTAATTAAGGGATTCAATGATGCAGTACGCTTACTTTGCAAATACACCCCACATCTACATATATACAGATCCACGCACCAGCAGAAGGAATGCGAACCCTAAACTCTAAACCCTGAACCCCCAAAATCGAAAACCTGAACCCTCAACTCTAAACCCTAAACCTTCTCTACCAAGAACCAGAAAAGTCGGAGCAACTGCTTCCTGAGGATCCTCTGGGCTCAGGGCTTCCTAACCCTCAACCTTCACTCAACACCAAACTCTACAAGCCCTACCCAGCCTCCCCCTAAAACCCTACATCCCCCCGGTTACACCCTACACCCTCAACCTCAACCCTCAATTTGAACCGTAGTATTATGTGGTCCCCTTCGTCTGGGCCCTTAGATGCGGGCGGACCATCACCCTAGGAACGGTCCCCAACCCTCAACCCTATCACCCTTAAGCCGCAAACCACAAACCCCTAAACCCTAAACCCTAAACCCTCTGCTAGGATGGCCCTTAAAACCCTCTGAAAATAGTCCTGAACATGATCTTTTTCAACCCAACAAAGGAAAACATCAAGCGTCTCAAGGGCCTACCTAGACAAGACCCTAAACCCTAAACCCTAAACCCTAAACCCTAAACCCTAAACCCTAAACCCTAAACCCTAAACCCTAAACCCTAAACCCTAAACCCTTTCGCCGGCCTTCGTGAAGAAGGCCGAGATCGAGGGTCGACCCTTACGCCGGAGGAGCTCCGCGAACTCCGCGAAGCCGCAACCTAATATAAGGTTTGGGGGGGTGTTTAGGGTTTAGGGTTTAGGGTTTAGGGTTTAGGGTCGTTTCTAGGGAGCCTTAGGGAAGCTTGCTCCCTTAGGGAGGAGTATTCTGGAACCTTGAGTTCATGTATACCTAGGGGTCGGAATAACTACTAATCGTCTTCCCGTATCGTCCCATGATGGTTATAGTAGAATAACCCCCAAGACTCTATTCAAATTATTCAGGCCCCGATGTTGCCGAGTTTTGGGTGGCAGGGTTTGCAGGGGCTTTCCGGCTTCAGGGTTTACAGTTTAGGGCTTAGGGTTAGCATGCTTTGGGGTGTAGGGTTGCAGTCTTTAGGAATTCTTCGGGTTTAAAGTTGTAGAGTTTGAAATTTTGGGCCCAGCCCGGCATAAAATTTCGTAAGACTACCCGCTGGCACTGTCCTGATCTGTATACCCTAAACCCGAAACCCTTAAGTGAGAACGCTCAGTAGGCCACATTGAATGACAGGGCCACACTGGGGGTTCATTGTGTTGAGTCTTGAACATTGGGGTTTAGGGTTTAGGGTTTAGGGTTCAGGGTTTAGGGTTCGGGGTTTAGGGTTTAGGGTTTAGGGAAAAACCCCGGAACCCTTGACCCTCACGCAGCCTTCTTTTCGCGGATCGAGGCGTGGGCACTCCGTGCGCAGCAGCCCGACAACCATGGACCTGCAGCACGTCCCTAAACCCTATAAACCCCAAACCCTAGACCCCAAACCCTAAACCCTGAAACCCTAAACACTAAATCCTAAACCAAATCTCCGGTTGTCCCCAAAACCGAAACCGGGTTTCCGGTTCTATCGGGATTAGGGCAACCCACGGAAAGCCCAAACCCTAACACGCTGTAGGGTTTATAGTGTCTAGGGAGCCGGTAAACCCTAAACCCTACAAGCCCTCGACCGTTAGACCCTAAGCCCTAAACCCTACAAGCCCTTGACCCTATTCCCTAACTGGCCCTAACTTCCAAGACGAAGGGCCAATGGTGCGGCTGCTCGAGAAAGGTGGCCATCGTGGCGTCATAAGCGTAGCTGCCTGGCATGGCGGGGGGGGATCCCGCGGGTTCTTCGGGCTTAGGGCTTACAGGGCTTCTAGGCCTGATAGGGGGTTCTAAACCCCAAACCCTAAAGCCCAAACCCTGAACCCTAAACCCCAAACCCTAAACCCCGAACCCTAAACTCCAAACCCCAAGCCCTAAACCCGAAACCCCAAACCCCAAACCCAGGGTTTGGGGAAATCCCCGGCCTGGGCCCGAGCTGCTCATGACTCTGGCAGCGAGGCCTCCGAGGTCGCGTGGAGGGCCCGTTTAGGGTTTAGGGTTTAGGGTTTCGGGTTTAGGGTTTACGGCGACCAAGCGGTTTCGGGTTCCGGGATTGGGGGTTTAGGAGTTTGGAGGCTTAGGTCGGGATGCTTTTCTGATACTAACAGGCCTTAGTAAGGAACATAATAGGGCCCCAGAAAAGGACGCTAAACCCGAAGCCTGAACCCAAAACATGGGCTTAAAGCCTAAACTCTGAACCCTAGACCCTAGATACAAATTACTTAAACCCTGAACCCGGAACCCTGAAAAAGGACTCAAACCTTAAACCCTAAACCCTAAACCCTAAACCCAAAACCATAAACCCTAAACCCTAAACCCTAAAGGGCAACTCGCCAGTCGCCTTTCAGCACTCTGGGCGCTGCCGTGACGGTCCTCGGCGCGGGCGCGATGAAGAAGCAAGGAAGCACGAAACAAGGGTTTAGGGTTTAGGGTTTAGGGCTTAGGGTTTAGGGTTTAGGGTTTAGGGTGTAGGGTTTAGGGTTTAGGGTTTAGGGTTTAGGGTTTAGGGTTTAGGGTTTAGGGTTTAGGGTTTAGGGTTTAGGTTTTTAGGGTTTAGGGTTTAGGGTTTTGGGTTTAGGGTTTAGGGTTTAGGGTTTAGGGTTTAGGGTTTAGGGTTTAGGGTTTAGGGTTTAGGGTTTAGGGTTTAGGGTTTGGGGTTAGGGTTTAGGGTTTAGGGTTTAGGGTTTAGGGTTTAGGGTTTAGGGTTTAGGGTTTAGGGTTTAGGGTTTAGGGTTTAGGGTTTAGGGTTTAGGGTTTAGGGTTTAGGGTTTAGGGTTTAGCCCACTGAAGCGACGCGCCTCGACCCAAGGGGTCGTGGGCGGCGCGTCGCGCGAAAGCTAAAACCCCACCCCAAGACCACCCAAACCTTACTCTATTAGGGTTTAGGGTTTTTTTTTTTTGATAGTTCTCTCGTTGCTTTGTATTCTCTGCTGTAGTTGTGGGTTGTTTTAATATAAACCAAAAGGAAAAGTAAAGCAGGGGGCAACAGTCTGCTTATATGTTGTGTTTTCACGCCCGAGTAGGCCCGGCTGGGAGCACCGATTCCGCGCTCGGGGCCGCGGCGCCATCGCTCGTTGTCACTGCGCTCCGTGGCGCCGCTGTGTACAAGAACGCCTCTTGTTCTCTCGTCGCTTTTGTATTCTCTGCCCTAGTGGATATCTGAATAAAATCATAAACGTTTTACCCCAAAAGGGCCACAAGAGTACCAGAAAGCATCCACGAGGCCCCAAGAGCCACCAAAAGGCTTCAAAAGGCCCCCTAAAAAAGGACCTCCAGCATTTGCCCGGGCCCGCAATAAAAAATGCTTTTAGGACCGAAATCGATGGTTTTGGGCACCCCGAGTAGGCCCGGCTGCGAGCACCGATTCCGCGCTCGGGGCCGCGGCGCCATCGCTCGTTGTCACTGCGCTCCGTGGCGCCGCTGTGTACAAGAACGCTTCTTGTTCTCTCGTTGCTTTTGTATTCTCTGCTGTAGTGGATATTTTAATAAAAATCATAAACGTTTTACCCCAAAATTTTAAAAGGGCCACAAGACTACCAGAAAGCACTCACGAGGCCCCAAGAGCCACCAAAAAGCTTCAAAAGGCCCCCTAGAAGAAGGGGACCTCCAGCATTTGCCCGGGCCCGCAATGAAAAATGCTTTTTTTTTCTAGCACAGAAATAGATGGTGTTGGTCACAACGAAAAGTAAAGCAGGGGGCAACAGTCTGCTTATACGTTGTGTTTTTACGCCCGAGTAGGCCCGGCTGGGAGCACCGATTCCGCGCTCGGGGCCGCGGCGCCATCGCTCGTTGTCACTGCGCTCCGCGGCGCCGCTGTGTACAAGAACCTTCTTGTTCTCTCGTCGCTTTTGTATTCTCTGCTGCTTTTGTATTCTCTGCTGTAGTGGATATCATCATAACGTTTTACCCCAAAAGGGCTACAAGAGTACGAGAAAGCACCCACGAGGCCCCAAGAGCCACCAGAAGGCTTCAAAAAAACCCATAGAAGAAGGGGACCTCCAGGATTTGCTCGGGCCCGCAATGAAAAATGTTATTTTTTAGTACAGAAACCGATGGTTTTGGGCACCCCTCCATGTTGTCAAAGGGCCAGGAAAGCCCCAGGAAAATCCCAAGAAAGTTTTATGCCCGAGCAGGCCCGGATGGAGGGCACCGATTCCGCGCTCGGGGCCGCGGCGCCATCGCTCGTTGTCCCCAACAGGCTCAGAAACTGTCCGGGAAAACAGAAACTGTCCGGGAGCCCAAAAAAACGTAGAAACTGTCCAGGAGGAGCCCAAAAAGGCACAGAAATGGTCCGGGAGGAGCCTGGGACCCTAAATCCTAAATCCTAAATCCTAAATCCTAAATCCTAAATCCTAAATCCTAAATCCTAAATCCTAAATCCTTAATCCTAAATCCTAAATCGAAATCCTAAATCCTAAAAGTCTTCAAAACGCTCTCTAAAGGAGGGGGGACCCCAGCATCTGCCCTGGCCGCAATGAAAAGTGCGATTTTTTAGTACAGAAATCGATGGTTTTGGGCACCCCTGCATTTTGCCCTAAATCCTAAATCCTAAATCCTAAATCCTAAATCCTAAATCCTAAATCCTAAATCCTAAATCCTAAATCCTAAATCCTAAATCCTAAATCCTAAATCCTAAATCCTAAATCCTAAATCCTAAATCCTAAATCCTAAATCCTAAATCCTAAATCCTAAATCCTAAATCCTAAATCCTAAATCCTAAATCCTAAATCCTAAATCCTAAATCCTAAATCCTAAATCCTAAATCCTAAATCTAAATCCTAAATCCTAAAAGCCTTCAAAACGCTCTCTAAAGGAGGGGGGACCCCAGCATCTGCCCCGGGCCGCAATGAAAAGTGCGATTTTTTAGTACTGAAATCGATGGTTTTGGGCACCCCTCCATTTTGCTAAATCCTAAATCCTAAATCCTAAATCCTAAATCCTAAATCCTAAATCCTAAATCCTAAATCCTAAATCCTAAATCCTAAATCCTAAATCCTAAATCCTAAATCCTAAATCCTAAATCCTAAATCCTAAATCCTAAATCCTAAATCCTAAATCCTAAATCCTAAATCCTAAATCCTAATCCTAAAATTCCTAAATCCTAAATCCTAAATCCTAAATCCTAAATCCTAAATCCTAAATCCTAATTTTTAAAGGGGAAGGACGGGGGTCTAGGCTTTAGGGTAATAAAATATGCTTTAGGGCTGTACGCCCTGTTCCCTCTTTCAAAGCTGTGAGGAGTGCGTTACGGTGCCAGAAGCTAACTCTTCTGGCACTAAAGAGAGCATCTGCCTCCAACTGCTAGACTGTCGCTACTCAGTTGTCGGCTGCCGTCGCTAGAGGCTCGGCGGGCTCGCTGCGGCCCGCTGCCTTGCCGGCAGCTAATCAGGGGCCTTGCTCGCAGTTTAGGGTTTAGGGGTTTAGGGTTTAGGGTTTAGGGTTTAGGGTTTAAGGTTTAGGGTTTAGGGTTTAGGGTTTAGGGTTTAGGGTTTAGGGTTTAGGGTTTAGGGTTTAGGGTTTAGGGTTTAGGGTTTAGGGTTTAGGGTTTAGGGTTTAGGGTTTAGGGTTTAGGGTTTAGGGTTTAGGGAACGCAGCATGAGGGATCCTTACCAAAAAGAGGACTATGCCCTCAACCGAACTCCTACCTCCCACCCCCCTTCCTGCACTTTAAACCCCACTTTTTTAGGGTTTAGGGTTTAGGGTGTAGGGTTTAGGCTAAACGTCTGGACTCGGCGAGGATCTCTGTGTGCCTGGCATCGATATGACGCTCCCTTACCTCCCTTAAAAGGGGGCCCATGGGTTTTGTAGGCAGGGTTTAGGGTTTAGGGTTTAGGGTTTAGGGTTCAGGGTTTAAGGTTTAGGGTTTATACCCCTTATATGGGTTTGGAACCCAAGGGCCTTGCGACATCCTATGATTCTCAGGGTAGTTTCATGGTTCTATTAGTATGGGCACTTTTGGGAAAAGGTACCCCTTATGTACCCCTTATCTACCCTTTTCGAATTAAGGGCCCATTAAGGGCCCATGAAACTACCCTCAGAGACGAAGAAGGCTCGAGCCCTCGGGCACAGTGCGTGGGGTCATGGTGCACAACCCCTGAACCGACCCTCAGGAGCTTTCCGGCTGAGGGGTTGGGGATTTAGGGATTTAGGGATCAGGGTTTAGAAACCCTAAACCCTAAACCCTAAACCCTAAACCCTAAACCCTAAACCCTAAACCCTAAACCCTAAACCCTCACTCCTAAAAGCCGGGACTCAGCGCGAGCATTCTGACGACAGTCGATGCTGATGCCAAGGCCAGGAGCAGGGTCTGCCGGCTGCCGGGGACGTACTCCAAGTACCTGGGGTTTAGGGTTTAGGGTTTAGGGTTTAGGGCTTAGGGTTTAGGGTTTAGGGTTGAGGGTTGAGGGTTGAGGGCTTGAGGGCTTGAGGGCTTGAGGGCTTGAGGGCTTGAGGGCCTCTACACCGCCAATGAGAAGAGCTGCCCTGGGGCGTTTTAGGAGTTCTAGGGTTTAGGGCAATGCCATGGGATTTTGGGCTAGGGTGGTTCGGGGTTCTGATAAATGGCTTGGGGCATCCAATTTAAAATTACAAACTCTGGACCCCAAAGCCCTAAACCCTAAACCCTTAAACCCTAAACCCCGAAAACTTAAAACCCTAAACCCCTAAACCCTAACCCCTAACCCCTAAACCCCGGAACCCTAACCCCCCCCCCCCTTCAACCCCTAAACCCCTAAACCCAAAACCCCCACAACCCTGGACCCCTTCACTTTGCCGTCTCGGGACCTCAGGCTTACCAAAACTCGGCTTGGTCTGCTGAGGCGGCCCGAAACCCTAAACCCTAAACCCTAAACCCGACACTCCGAAAAAATAAGGGGGTTCTACAGATGTGGGGCGGGGGGGTGGGGGGGGGATTTATCTGCAGTAAAGTTTAAGATCTAAGTCTTAGGTCTTAATGTGGCACCTCCTTTAGTTTGGGCCCTCCCCCCCCCCCCCCCCCCCCACAGTCGAGGCGTGGATGGGAGAGTTTGGATAGGTTTAAAAGGGGCAGCGATGCCCGGTTATCTTTTTAAAGGCGCGCCAAATTTTCTTACGGCGCCCGGACGATTTGTCTTTAACGAGGGACTCCCAAACAGTCAGGGTGTCCTGAATAATTCAGCCAAATTGTCTTTAAAGAGGGGGCCGATACTAAAGCGGGTGCAACACTAGACCGTCTAGACCCGAAACCCTAAACCCTAGATCCTTAAACTCTAAAGCCCCAAGACCTAACCCTGAAAACCCTAAAACCCCTAAAGCCCTTTTTAACCCTTACAACCCTAAAGCCTAAACACTTAAAACCCAAAAGATACCATCCTGGTTTGGCTCGGCCCATTGCAACCCCCTTTGACCCCCTTGACCCCCTTGACCCCCTTGACCCCCTTGACCCCCTTGACCCCCTTGACCCCCTTGACCCCCTTGACCCCCTTGACCCCCCCCCTTGACCCCCTTGACCCCCCCCCCCCCCCCCCCCCCCCCCCCCCCCCCCCCCCCCCCTCAAAAACAAAAGGGACTTGGATGACTTCATTGCTTTCGGGCGCTCAGGTTGCGTGGCGCCGCCGCCGGACCGCAGCCGGACCCCCAAACCCTAGGGTTTAGGGTTTGTGGTATAGTGTTTAAGGGTTAGGATATAAAGTTTGGGGCTTAAGGTTTCAGGTTCAGGGTTTGGAGGGTTTATGGGGTGCATAGGGCTTATAGGGCTTGTAGGGTTTCTAGGGTTAAGAGGGTCCCTAAACCCTAAACCCTAAACCCTAAACCCTAAACCCTCAACCCTAAACCCTAAACCCTAAACCCCAAACCCTACATGCCCGGGCACGGCATCGCCAGCACCACATGCCGGAGCTCAACCAGGAGCTCCTCGGAGGCCAGCTTGAGATGCTGCATGACAAGCCTGGGGTGTGAGGTTTAGGGTTTAGGGTTTAGGGCTTAGGGCTTAGGGTTTAGGGTTTAGGGTTTAGTTTTTTTTTAGGGCGGCGAAAGGGGTTTTAATAAGGTTCTATATGGTTTATGCGGGTTTGTAGGGGTTTTAGAGTGTGTTCTAGGGGGTTAGAGGGTTTTGAGGGTTGATAGGTGTTTCTAGGGGCTTATAGGGTTTATAGGGTTTAGTGTGGTTTATAGGGTTTATAGGGTTTATAGGGCTCAAAGGGGTTTATAGGGTGTATAGGACTTATAGGGGTTCACAGGGTTCATATTGCTTCTAGGGTTTTTGTAGGGTTTGTAGTGTTTGGGGTTTAGGGTACAGGCCACCGGACCCAAACCCTAACACCCCCCAACCGCGGCTCAGGTTTTGTATATAGCCCGGGTAGGGCCCATCACAGGACTCACAGGGTCTGAAACTTGGTAGTTCTTGGTAGGGAATATGGGTTTAGGGGTTTAGGGGTTTAGGGGTTTAGGGGTTTAGGGGTTTAGGGGTTTAGGGGTTTAGGGGTTTAGGGTTTAGGGTTAGGTTTAGGGTTTAGGGTTTAGGGTGTAGGGTTTAGGGTTTAGGGACCTTTGTATAAGAACCCTGGCCTCCCCAAGGGCCCCCCCCCTTGCAGAGGAGCGGCCAGGCCCCGATGGAGTGGCCCAGGACGACGAAACCCTGACCGCGATGGCACGCCTCCGGGTCTCAAGCTACGGCTAGGTACATGGTCCCTTAGTATGGGCCCTTAAGAGGAGACCCCTTATATACCCCGTATATACCCTATATAAGTTACAGCGGGAGTATCGCTTAAGAATTCCTTGCTTAAGAATTTGAGGGGCTGAAATTTCTTATGCATTGGATTTTGTCCGCCCCTTACTGGGTGCCTTTGACTTAAGAATTTGAGCCCCCCCTGAAATCTGAGGGCACATTCTTAATCCAGTTGTTATTTTGCTTGTCATTAACTCGAAAATCTTAGATAGTAAAGCTTTTAAACACAAGGAATTAAGAACCTGAGCCCCTCAGGTTCTTAGCTTACTTGCAAGTTAAGAACCGAGCCCCTCAGATGCCGAAGGAAACATCCCGAATTAAGAATCTGAGCCCCTCAAATTCTTAGCTTGTAAAGCTTTTGCACAAGCAGGCGCCAAAAGAAAAACCCCGAATTAAGAATCTGAGCCCCTCAAATTCTTAGCTTGTAAGCTTTTGCACAAGCAGGCCCAAATCACAGAAACCCCCAACCAAGAACTTGATCCCCTCAGATTCATACTTTGGCCCCAAACAATCAGAAACAGCTCAAGCTATTGAGTTCAAACCCCAGAAACCTCCAGAGTAAGAATCTGAGGGGCTCAGATTCTTAGCTCGCTAAGAATCTCAGCCCCTCAGATTCTTAGCTCGCTAAGAATCTGAGCCCCTCAGATTCTTAGCTTGCGAAAGCTGTGCACAACCCCACAGCAGAGTTATGTGCGAAAGAATGCTTTGGGCTAGTGGCTACAGCGTCTTCCTTAAGACGTAAGGATGCTGGCTCGAATCCCACTTAAGAATGTGCTAAGAATCTGAGCCGGAAGAACATCAAAATACACACGGAACAAGTCGTTCTCTAGTTAAGAATCTGAGCCCCCCCTGACCTGACCCTCGCACATTCTTAACCGACGCTCGCACTGTAAGGGCAAATACTTGGGAGCCCGTTAAGGGAGGTAAGGGGCCATATTGCGGCTGTAAGGTCTTGGGGGTTCTTGCTAACAAGTCCTTGACAGGGAGTGTAATAGGTGGGGACTATAATCCTTATTAAAACCACTGGAAGTATATGGGGAACGTCCCAACCCAAACCCTAAGGCCTAAAGCCTGAACAACACCAGGATTGAGCTTTTCAGAGCTGAGTGGGATAGCCAAGTCTCAACCCCAAGAACCCCAAACCCTTTCCCTGAACCCTAAGCCCCAAAGCCCAAAACCCTACACCCCAAACCCTTTTTTCTGAACCCCAAACCCTACAAACCCAACCTTGAACCCAAAACTCTCACCTCCGAACCCTGAACCCAAACCCTATGCCTGTAAAACCCTCAACCTCATCCTAAAGGCCTAGGGTTCAAGGGTAGGGGCATCCTAGCAGAAACCCTCTCTCAGAAAAGGAGTTTAGGCCTGGACCCTGGCGAGAGCAGCCGAGATGGCTTCCGCCTCCTGGCAGAAAAGGAGCCCCTGAGGACTGAATGCCCTAAACCCTGAACCCCCCCCCCCCCCCCAAACCCCAAACCCCAAACCCCAAACCCCAAACCCCAAACCCCAAACCCCAAACCCTAAACCCTAAACCCTAAACCTGCAGGGTTTCGGGTTTGGGGCTTCGGGCTTATAGGACTGAGGGCTTTGGGGTTTATAGGTTTAGGAATAGGGTGGTAGGGTTTACAGGGTCTAGGAGTTGGGAAGTAGAGCTACTAAGTCGCACGCATAGGCAAGACCCCTGGGCAGTGAGGAGTAAGGCTTGTCAAGTTGGAGGTAGACTACAGAATTTCTCCCTGATAAAGTATCATTACGCTTTGGAGGTTTTTGGGGTGACTTTGGGGGCTTAGAAATACAGTTATAACTAGTTATAACTAGTTATAACTGCGGTTATAAGTACCCGTGAACCTCCAAGTATAAACCCCCAACCCCAAACCCCAGACCCCAAACCCCACCCGCAAAACCCAACCCCTAACGCCAAACCCCAAAACCCCACCCCCCAAGACCCAAACCCCAAACTCCAAACTCGAAACGCCAAACCCCAAACCCCAAAATTAAACCCTAAACCCTAAACCCTAAACACCCACAGACGCGAGGCCCCCCCAAGCCCCCCGGCCTCGTCCACGCTGACAGGGCCGGCCTTCTCCCGCTCGGCGGCGCCTTCGGCCGTGGTCGGGAAGTTCACGTAGCCCACGCAATACATCCTGAGGTTGCGCTCCCGGCTGACCCTAAACCCTAAACCCTAAACCCTAAACCCTAAACCCAATTTTTGTCAGGGGAACCCAGGAGCGCCACACCCCTGCAATTCAGGGAAAATGTGATGGCTTAAGCTGGCCTTGGGCTTCAGGGTCTTAGGAAGGGTTTAGGGTTTAGGGTTTAGGGTTTAGGGTTTAGGGTTTAGGGTTTAGGGTTTAGGGTTGAGGGTTTAGGGTTGAGGGTTTTGTGGTGGAATGGTTAACGTGCATTCTGAGTTCAGGCATTCGGCTTGGCCCTACTAGATGTCTCACCTACAGCGCTGTGCCAGCAAAATTATATCTGGATTCATGCCTGTACCTTGTACGAGATCCATGTCTTGCGAACGTCCTTCCATGGTGCGACTACTCGACCCTCGAGTAACCTAGGATCAAAACAGGTGCCACCTTTTTTGGCTTCAAGAAAACTTGACCATGCAAGGGGCCTACTCTGGGTGCTATTTACCCTAAACCCTAAACCCTAAACCCTAAACCCTAAACCCTAAACCCTAAACCCTAAACCCTAAACCCTAAACCCTAAACCCTCACCCCCCCCCCCCCCCCCCCCCCCAAAACAAAAAAAAAAAAGGGAATAAGGGGCCTACTCTGCGTCTTAGACTAGATGACCTCCGAGCCGTCGAGCTAAGGCAGCGGCGTGGCTGCCCCCAAGCCCTCGGCAAAGAGAGCCTCTGGTCGAGGGTTTGTTTTTGCGACTCCAGGGTTTAGGGTTTAGGGTTTAGGGTTTAGGGTTTAGGGTTTAGGGTTTAGGGTTTAGGGTTTGGGGTTTCGGGGTTTTAGGGCTGTCGGGTTTCGGGTTTATGGCTTGAGGGTTTCAGGACTCTAAAGGGCTTAGGGAAACGGTGCAAGTGAGCCTTCCCAGGCGAAAATCCCGAAAACAGGGGCTGGCTTCGTGCGAATGCGGATTAGGGGGCAATCCCTCGGGTTTAGGGTTTAGGGTTTAGGGTTTAGGGTTTAGGGTTTAGGGTTTAGGGTTTAGGGTTTAGGGTTTAGGGAAACCTACAGCCCTAAACCCTACCAACCTTGCAACCTATAAGACCTTAAAAGCATCCCCCAACCCTATGCGGAACTCTAAACCGAACCCTATGAACCTATGCGAAACCCTAAACCCTAAGCCCTATGAACCTTAGACCCAATTTTAAGCTTCATCCTTCACTCCTAAGCCCTAGATGTATATCTTGGGCCCGTAAACCATGAACCCTAGAGACTCCATAATCCTTCTTGGACCCCGAGATCCCACCAACCTTAACCCCTGGAGCCTAAAACAACCCGAACGCGCCAAAGCACAAAACTCACTGAACCCTAATCCCCCAAACCCTAAACCCTAAACCCTAAACCCTAAACCCTAAACCCTAAACCCTAAACCCCTAAACCCTAAACCCTTAACCCTTAACCCTAAACCCAGGCCCACCTCCTGCAACCTCTCCGCGAATTGGCAGTAAAAGTGTGGAATGCCCGGATTGCCGCCCACAAGGGCCACCTGAACAGTTGGTTTTAGGGTTCAAGGTCCCTAAACCCTAAACCCTAAACACAAGGCCATAGGCTGAGAGATTCAGGGCCGGCTGGTGTGCTTAAGATTTAGGACATGCTTGCAGGCTTGGATGTTTTTCGGGTAGGGCAGGGCCTTGAGTTTCACAGAGCTGTGGACAGTTGAGGTTGAGGGTTTAGGGTTGCAAGGTTCAGGGTTTTGGGGTGATAGCATTTTAGGGTTTAGGGTTTTAGGGTTCCAGGGTGTAGGATTTGGGGCATACTAAGGTAAAACCCTCAACCCCCAAACCCCACATCTAACAGTTTTCCCTTCTGGTCCCTTTCTAACTATGCTAAAATCAGCCCCAAAATCTTGTTCTAATTAAAAAAGCCCCTACAGGAGGTCTCAATTCACCCAGATGGGGAAGGCAGTTGTGCAGTCCCCTTAGGATTCAGGCACTGAGGGTTTCAAATTTTGGGGGATTTCCAAAGCTTAAGCTTGGTGGTCGGAGGGGCTTCAGGGTTTAAGGTTTATAGGGTTTAAGGTCACTGACTCAGCAGCGCACGTGAGCTTTAGAAGCCCTCTCACACCTGTCGCATGACGCACTTCCTGGGAGAGCATGGCAAAACCCACCTCAAAACCCTAGGGCTTAGGGTTTAGGGTTTAGGGTTTTGGGTTTGGGGTTTAGGGTTTAGGGTTTAGGGTTCCAAACCATGAGTCGCCACACTTAACCCTAAAACCCTTTAACGCTTTGAAACCCTGAAACCCTAGCACCCTGAAACCATACACCCCCAAAAGAGACGCAAAAGCAACCCAGGTTGCCCGCGTAGGGGTTTAGGGTTTAGGGTTTAGGGTTTAGGGTTTAGGGTTTAGGGTTTAGGGTGTGTCAGGGGAGGGCGCGCGCTCGGGTGTGAAACACCCCGGGCCGCGCGCTCGCGTTGCCCGTCAACCCACCCCGGCCACCCAAACTATACTCTATTAGGGTTTAGGGTTTATGGAATTTACTTTCTTGTGCTCTGATGCTTGCTTTGATGTTTTTAAAGTTGCGCTGTTAGGGTTTAAGCTGGGGTTGGGGGTAGCCTCGGCCCTTTTCGGGCCTTCGGCGTGTCAGGGCCCGTAGAGGCCCTTATTTATTTGAAGGTCAGGGAAACCCTTTGTGTCTGCTCTTGGATTCCCCTTCTTTAAGGGCCTCAATTAAGCATCGATTTCACTACCAAGAAATCGCATTTTTCATTGCGGGTACGGGCATCCTGGGGTCCCCCTTCTTTTAGGGGGCCTTTTGAAGCCTTTTGAAGCATTTTGGTGGCTCTTGGCGCTTGTTGGGGGCTTGTTCGGACCTTCGGCGTGTCAGGGGCCGTAGAGGCTTTATTCATTTAAAGGTCAGGGAACTTATTAATGAGTTTTTCGCCAATGAGTATTTCAATCGCTAGGGTTTAAGCTCGGGTTCGGGGTAGCCTCGGCCCTTTTCGGGCCTTCGGCAAGTTAGGGCCCGTAGAGGCCCTTATTTGCTTGAAGGCCTTGGCAGGGTTTTGCGGTGTTAGGGTTTAAGCTGGGGTTCGGGGTAGCCTCGGCCCTTTTCGGGCCTTCGGCACGTTAGGGCCCGTACTTTCTTGTGCTCTGATGCTTGCTTTGATGTTTTTAAAGTTGCGCTGTTAGGGTTTAAGGTTGGGGTAGCCTCGGCCCTTTTCGGGCCTTCGGCGTGTCAGGGCCCGTAGAGGCCCTTATTTATTTGAAGGTCAGGGAAACTCTCTGTGTCTGCTCTTGGATTCCCCTTCTTTAAGGGCCTCAATTAAGCATCGATTTCACTACCAAGAAATCGCATTTTTCATTGCGGGTACGGGCATCCTGGGGTCCCCCTTCTTTTAGTGGGCCTTTTGAAGTTTTTGAAGCCTTTTGGTGGCTCTTGGCGCTTGTTGGGGGCTCGTGCGATTCCCTGCAAGGGTGTTGGTGTGGGGGGCCCTTGGCCCGAGAGCCTTTAGTTGGGGGCCCCTTTGTTTGGGGGGAGTTTTGGGCCCTTGTTGGTCCCTTCCAAAAGCCTGGGAGGCCCTTGGCTGCGGGGGGCCCTTGGCCGGAAACGGGAGCCTTTTTGGCGCGGCCGGCTTGGCCCTGAGGGGCCCTTGGCTCCGGGGCTTGGCCCGGGGCCCTTAGAGGCCGGGGAGCCCCTTGGCCCTTCGCCCGGCAGCCCTTGGCTCGGGGGTCCCTTGGCCCTTGGGGCCTTGGCCCGCCCTTGGCCCGGGGGGCCCTTGGCCGGGGGGCCTTGGCTTGGGCCAAAAATCGAAAGCCCCCAAAATCACGAAATTGAGCAACCAGCCTGCCTGGACCCCTCGCCAGCCTCCTGGTCCAGGAATCCAGCTGCCAGGGGCCAGGGGGCCCCCGGCGGGGAGGGCCCGGCAAACCCTGAACCCAAAACCCTGAACCACCTCCAGAGGCAAAGCATTACGATTTGGGGTTATACTTTAGCTACGCTAAAGGTGGTCTGGGTGCCGGCCATCCCTTAGCCGAGTACTGACGTTGTCGTAAAAAAGGCCGATGTCCGTTGGCCTGTCCAGGACAGACGGTGAGGCTTAACCCTCACCTTTCCGTTTCTCTTTTCGCTTGGGCGCTCGGGCTGTAAGGCCCTCGGCCGAGCGTTCGGGGTCTGTCGCTCGACGGAAGCGACCCCTCACTTAGTTTAGGGTTTAGAAACAAAACAAACTCGGGAGTGATGTCGACTCGAGCGGCCCCTAGCGAGGGCCCGGTCTCGGCCGGATCCAACACGAGGACCTCCGGTGCGGAGGTGTTGTCCTCTGGGAGTTTGGGGTGCCGGGGTTTAGGGTTTAGGGTTTGGGGTTTGGGGTTTAGGGTTTAGGGCCCAAATTCGCACCCCTCCTTCTGCCGACGCCAGCGTGGCGGCGGCGCTGGCCCTGGGGGCCTGGGGGCCTCGGCCTCGTGCGCACCCCCAAGATTTTGGGTTAGGGTGTTGGGTTTTGGGTTTTGGGATTTGGGTTTTGGGCTTTGGGCTTTGGGTTTTGGGTTTTGGGTTTTGGGTTTTGGGTTTTGGGCTTGGGGTTCCCCGCAGAGTGTGAGATTTCGGGGCCCCCCTTAATTGCTCGTGCAGCGATCAAAGCCCTGGAAGCGCAGGCACCTCATAGGGCTGAGGGTTTAGGGTTTAGGGTTTAGGGTTTGGGGTTTGGGGTTTGGGGTTTGGGGTTTGGGGTTTAGGGTTTAGGGTTTAGGGTTCAGGGTTAGCGTTTCCAACATGTGGGCCGACCCAGCACAAGAGCGTCCCTAGACCCTAGACTCGAAACCCCTAACCCCTGGGCCCCAAACCTCACTGAGCCTTCGCCCGCGGATCCATGGTTGAGGGTGTCTGGGGTTCCGAGCTCAGGGCTTTTTGGCTTTTTAGGGTTTAGGGTTTAGGGTGTAGGGTTTAGGGTTTAGGGTTTAGGGTTCAGGGTTCAGGGTTTGGGGTTTGGGGTTTGAGGTTTGGGGTTTGGGGTTTGGGGT